GTGAAGGAATCTGCAAGCAGACAAGTAGATGATTTTTTCCCAGTTGTACAGAAAGCGGACGGCTGGTTTCTATACATTCTGTCAGACACATACCTACAATTTGTGATGTTAAGAGTCCAAAGATTTTGTGGGAATCTCACACTTTCCTTGGGGAAAGTCCTTCAGAAGTCTGGGAGATTATGGGAAAGACTACTGAAAAGCTCAGTAGGCTGGCACCAATTCTAGAAGATATTTGTGTAGCCCCCATAACAGAGGGTGTGAAAATAGCTCAAGAGTAAAACCTCAGCAGACAACCAAGGGGGCTCTTAAATAGTGTTACACAGGAAGTAGCATGACTTCCTGACTCGGACACAATAGGGGAGCCTTTTTCAGGTTGCACTCAATCTAGAAGACGAAAGCAAGATGAGGTCAACCCTGCCTGTTGCCACCGTAGTGTGGCAGAAACTCAGAGATGGGCCCAGAGAAAAGGAGCAAAGTGGCAGTGCTGTATACAAAGGGAAATTTTTGCCTACTATAATGAATATCTGAGGGGAATTAGAGGAGAGTGGTCACAGTTGAACACAAATGAAGAAAGCACATTGGCTGCTGGAGACAAAGAATGCTGCATCATCAGGGTTTGGTGTTAAAGAATACTTTGAGCCATCTGTCATCTGATGGCACATGGGATATATATAAAATTGGCCTGAACCCCCTTCCATGTCCTGGCAAAGTGTGATGCCCGCCTCATCTCCTGAAAGATTAGATCACCCAAAGGAGTTATATTCCCACGGCCCCTCTCTTTTGCACAACCACACTAATGCATGAAACTCTTTCCTTTACGCACACAGCATTCCTGCCTGTACAAGTCTCCACCGAACTTTTGTGGGTCACAGAGGGGAGAGGGCTTTCACGCCACACAGCAAACAATTCAGCATCTGTTCTTAAGAGACCTTTGGCTCATGCCACCTGCAGACAGGCTGCAGACAGGCAGCATCATTCCACCAGTCCCCTGTCCACCCTCCCCTCACTAGAGCATCTTATTTTCTCATGTGGAGCAGGATTCCCCTTACTTACTTACAAAGTTGGACCCCTGCCCTCAGAGTCACAACTTTGATTCTTAAAGTCTCTCCTTAAATACAACATTTTCTTTTTAAGAGAACTTTTAGTGACAGCCATCCTGAGAATAACACTTTTACCCTGTAAGAAAAGAAAGGCATTATCTCCAATCATACCTCTAAGAAAAGAGAGAAGCCCGAGACGTGAAGGAAGAGGACCGCCAAAGGGGTAGAAGAGAAATCTAGATGAGACCAAAAGCACAGCCACGTTAGCCACAACTTTTTTCTTTTTTAAAACAAAACATTTACTCATACATATTTGCGGGGCGCATGTGTTATATGAATGCAAGCATATGCTGCACACTGATTCACTTAGGGTAGATGGCATAGTTTTGTACCCATTAATCCACCATTTCTCTTCCCTGCCCCCCTTCTCTGGAAACCATTATTCTACTGTCTGCTTCTATGAGAACCACTTTGATTTTCAGACACCGCATATGCTTGAGATCATGTGGTATCTGTCTTTCTGTGCTGGGTTACTTCACCTAACGTGATGGTCACCGGTTCCATCCATGCTGCTGTAAGTGACAGAATATCATTTCCTTTAGCCACAACTTGTTAAGGAATTAGAAGTCAATATCGGAGCCTGACAATATATTTGGTCACCATTTACATATACTTAACCATATTTGAAATAACTACTGATTATAATTTTATTCCATAGTTAGGCAACAGGACCTTCTCAAAGACTGCTCTTCTTGTTTTTATAAAGTTTCTAGTTAAAGAAGTCCTCATGACATCATTATGAATTGATTTCTGAACTAGATGGGCTATAACTAGAGATTTTGGTCAAATCGTGGTTCTTGGGAGGCAGAGCAAGTAGCACTCCTTAGAGAAAGTGGCTTACTCTTTTTTCCTATGTAAGTGTGCTATGTGCTATATAAAATGCCACCTGTCACAAAACAACAATGCAACACTTTGTTAAGAAGATTTTTTAGAATTGTACATTATGCAACAGATGAAATCCTATATCCTGAAGCAGAGGTCCTCAAAGGGTGGCCCCCAGACCACCAGCATCGGCCACCTAGGAGCATGCTGGAAATACAAGTTCTCAGGCCCTACCCCAGACCTGCAACATCTGAAACTCTGGGGTGGGGTCCATAGTCTGTGTGTTAACATGCCCTCCAGCTGAGGCCAGTGCCTGTCTGAGTCTAAGAACCTCTTTTCTAGGGTCACCATGTCCACAGGGGTTGTGAATGGCCCATATTGAATATTTCCAAATGCCAATCACTGAATATGATTCTTTTCATCACCAGGTCCTCTGATTTAAAAAAACCTGTGGCCCCATCCGCAGATGACATGGTCTCTGCAATGGACTGAATGCGGGGAAAAATCCACATGTTAAAAGCCTAACCCCCGCTGGTGATGGTTCTAGAAGCTGGGGCCTTGGGAAGGTGATTAGGCTGTGAGTGTGGAGCCGTCATGAATGGGATGAGTGCCCTTAAAAAAGAGACCCCAGAGAGCTCCCTCGCCCCTTCCACCATGTGAGGACACAGGGAGAAGGCACCATCTGAGAACCAGAGAGAGAGCCCTCACCAGACACCGAATCTGCCTCGATGTTGGGCTCCCAGCCCCGAGAACTGTGAGAGATGAATGTTTGTTGTTTCAGGCCCCAGTCTATGCATTTCTGCTATGACGGCCAGCACAGACTAAGACAACCTCCCACCCAGCTGCTCGAGCTCCCTGCCGGGATGTCACTGGGTCCTGCTTTGCATCCTGGGTCCTCCTGCCGGGCTTGCTCATGCCGCAGTCTGCAGGGAAGGCAGGTGTTGCCCTCCACTGCTCTCTTCATTCCCAGGATCAGAGCTTGCTCAACCCCCGGTGTCCTCAGACACCCCAGGGGAAAGCTTCTGTGTTCCAGTCCTGGACCTATCAGTGGGGATAACACTTCCAGCAGGGCCCAGGGCTCACCGTGAGTTTTGGAGCCTCCACTCCTGAGACCCTGCTCACAGCATGGCCGCCCCCCACTCACTCAGACCAGTGGGGCTTCCTTGTCTCCTCTTGCAGCAACTTACCCACCTTTCCTTTGGGACTCGACGTTCGCCTTGGGTTCTGTAAAAGCCAGTTGTTCTTAAACTTGAGACTACATCAGACTCACCTGGAGGGCTTATTAAAACACAGAACACTGGGCCCAATTCCAGAGTTTCAGATTCAGCAGGTCTTCAAATTCTGTGTGCAGCCCAGAATTTGCATTTCTGGCGAGCTCCTGGTGGAAGCTGATGCTGTCGTCTCCCCAGACCACACTTTGAGAACCACTGCCAAAAACCAGCTTCATGGAACTTACTTGCAGACAGGTATCTAAAAAACTCAATCCAGACCTGTCTCTTCTGCAAATGACTGCTCCCTGATGTCTCCCAAGAAATTCAAATTATCTGCCAATTAATTCAATTTATTTATTTTTGTTGGTAATTAAATTCTACCCACTTCAAAGAAAGTTTTGAGGTGACTTTAATTCTTATCTACCCATTGGTGGAAATAGTTGATTTACCTTGTGCACTCAGAGAAATACCTTTCCTCCCAAGGGAACTAGTGTTCTCTGTTGCTCCTAAAGTCCGCGGGCCTTGGCTCTGACTCAGGCTCTCTTAAACCAAGGTGGAGTTGCCCTAGGGGTGAGAAGTGGGGTTGAGGAACCCTACTGTGCTGAAGCAGGACAACAGAGGTGCTCGGAAGGAGGACAGAATCTTGGCTTTGAAAAGAAAGTGGAATGTGACATTATTGATCCTACCAGTGCTCAAAACAACTAAGTCAGCCTTAGAGGAAACTTTCTACCTCCCCCCACTTCCCCACTAGTACCACCAAGCCAAATCTAGAAATACACAGCTCACTTCTCAGGGCTGTTCCTTCCACCTCTTCTCTAGAGATCCCATCTCCTCCTGAAACTGGGTTCTGCTCTGCAGCTGGACAATTCACAGCTGGAGGTACCCATTGGTGGAAATAGTTGATTTACCTTGTGCACTCAGAGAAATACCTTTCCTCCCAAGGGAACTAGTGTTCTCTGTTGCTCCTAAAGTCTGCAGGCCTTGGCTCTGACTCAGGCTCTCTTAAACCAAGGTGGAGTTGCCCTAGGGGTGAGAAGTGGGGTTGAGGAACCCTACTGTGCTGAAGCAGGACAACAGAGGTGCTCGGAAGAAGGAGGACAGAATCTTGGCTTTGAAAAGAAAGTGGAATGTGACATTATTGATCCTACCAGTGCTCAAAACAACTAAGTCAGCCTTAAAGGAAACTTTCTACCTCCCCCCACTTCCCCACTCCTACCACCAAGCCAAATCTAGAAATACACAGCTCACTTCTCAGGGCTGTTCCTTCCACCTCTTCTCCAGAGATCCCATCTCCTCCTGAAACTGGGTTCTGCTCTGCAGCTGGACAATTCACAGCTGGAGTTTTTAAAGAGTGGAGCCAAAGCCAGAGGAGAAACAAACACCAATAGGGCAAGAGCCTCATTCCAGATTCCAAATGTCACTCTGCAGCCCTCAAAATACCAATCGCTGGCTGCAGGACCAGCTAGGTCCCTGGTCCATGGTGACGTCAGGAGTCTGCAGAGACACAGCTGTAATGGACAGGACATGGTGGCCTGTGCTTTGTCTGTCCCCAGTTCACAGCCCCACCCAGGGGTGGGGGTCAATGGAAGGCAGTTCTGAGAGGCCTGAGGTGTCACTTGCAGGCTCTTTCCTTGTGAAAATAGAAAATCAACATCTAACCCTAGACCCGGACCAGACTCATCCTGAGGATTCAAGTGCCACAGGCCAGGAGAGCAGTGCTCAAAGGCCTCTGCTCACTGCCTTCCCCTCCTCACGCGCTGCCTGGAGCCTAGAATTTGAGAAGTGAAACCGCACGCCACCCCCTCAGGGCAGGGGAGAGGAAGAGCCTTCGGGCCTCTTTACTGGCCTATTATTTCTCTGTTGGTCACATACAGACCCCTCGCCATGAAGGGTTTCACGGCCGCCCTCCTTGTGTGGGCTCTGATTTCTCCCAGCAGTGGTGGTGGTGGCGGTGTCGGGGAAACCTGGCCCACACACGTGGCCTGCAGGGACGGAGGCTTGGAAGTGCTCTACCAGAGTTGTGGTAAGTTCTTTCAAAACAGCCGTTTATGGTTTTGGGGGGGGAATTAAGGCCCACAGATGTGGCTGCTTAAGTGCTTAGCTGGTGTGGGTGAGGGGAGAGGGGACCATCTGCCAGACACTTTCTCCACCTGCAGCAGGTCTGCGAGGGCCATTGGGAGCCATCAGGAGGGGGGAGGGAGGAGAGGGACAAAGGGGACAAGAAAGAGAAAATGAGAGTCTAAATACAGCAATTGACTAATAAAAGGGAACTTCAAAACGCTCATGGAAAAATAGAATTAAAAGATAATACGAATCCGGGCCGGCCCATGGCTCACTTGTGAGAGTGCGGTGCTGATAACACCAAGGCCACAGGTTCGGATCCCATATAGGGATGGCCAGTTAGCTCACTTGGGTGAACGTGGTGCTGACAACACCAGGTCAAGGGTTAAGATCCCCTTACTGGTCATCTTTTTAAAAAATGAACGTGGTGCTGACAACACCAGGTCAAGGGTTAAGATCCCCTTACCGGTCATCTTTTTAAAAAAATAAATAAATAAATAAAAAGATAATACGAATCTTCCCAATAATTTTTTGAAATACTTTCATACCACAGAGCCTGAAATAAAACAAAATGATAAATAAATAAAAAGATAATACAAATCTTCCCAATAATTTTTTGAAATACTTTCATACCACAGAGCCTGAAATAAAACAAAATGATCATCTTTTTAAAAAAATAAATAAATAAATAAAAAGATAATACGAATCTTCCCAATAATTTTTTGAAATACTTTCATACCACAGAGCCTGAAATAAAACAAAATGATCAATAAATCTCCCAAACGATGAAACTTTACCAGTTAAAAATTAGGAAAAGATGCTTCCAACAGGCCCTTCCCCCAAAACACACCTGGCTACCTTTCCAGTTTATGTAGTTTGCAAGTTGAGTGAAAAGATCATTTTTGCCCAAAGAGGAGCTTCCTTTCCTTCTGACACTGCCAGAGCTGGTGTTGTCATGGTATCACTTGTTAATCCAGCACATACTTTGAGAGCAGCTATCAATGCCAGGGTGTTCTCTGTGCCAGAGATAACATAAGTGTTATGGTTTGAATGTGTCCACCCAAAATCATGTGTTGGAAACTTAACTCCCAATGTTGGGAAGTGCCGGCTACTGAGAGGTGATTGGGTCATGAAGGCTCCAGCCTTATGGATGGATTAATGCTGTTATCAAGGGAGTGGGTTCTTCACAAAAGAGCAACTTTATTCTCTCTTTCTCTCCTGCCTTCTCTTTGCCCTTCTGCCATGTCCTGATGCAGCAAGAAGGCCCTCGTCAGATGCCGGCCCCTTGATCTTTGGCTTCCCAGCCTGCAGAACTGTGGGCCAATACATTTCTGTCCTTATAAATTACCCAGTCTGTGGCATTCTGTTATAGTAACACAAAACAGGCTAAGACAGTGAGTGAGACATGGCTGTTACCCCCACGGGCCAATCCTATGTGCCAACAGATAAGTTGCAATCCAATGATTAAGGCAGCCATCATCAGCATCTGGTCTAAACCAACCCCTTGGGGTGTGTCTTAGTCTTCTAGGACTGCCATAATGGATTACCACACACTGGATGCCTGAAACACCAGAAGTTTATTTCCTCACAGTGCTGGAGGCTGGAAGTCCAAGATCCAGGTGTCAGCAAGTTTCTTCTGAGGCCTCTCTCCTTGGCTTGTATGTGGCTGTCTTCTCCCTGTGTCCTCATGTGGTCTCTCCTCTGTGCGTGTCTCTGTTCCAATCTCCTCTTCTTATAAAGATGCCAGTCATAATGGATTAGGGCTCACCCTAATGACCTCATTTTAAATTAATCACTCCTCTAAAGATCCTGTTTCCAAATATAGTCACAGTCCAAGGTATTGGGGGTTGGAACTTCAACATATAAATTTGGGGCAGGATACAATTCAGCCCGTAACTGGGCTCCTGAGTTGGGAGAAATGAGCTCAGCCTCAGAATCACATCTTGAATAGAAATTAGAGGGACTGGCTCATGAAAAGGCATGACACTGTGACAAGAGGCAAAATGCTGTTTGGACTGAAGGAGGTGGAGAGGAGATACACTGAAGCATCTAAGTTGGCCCCACTACAAGCTGGGAAGTGATGATGTGGCACTTGAGCGACAGCTGATCCTAACAACTGCCACCCACAGAGCTGCCCAGAGGGTCTGGACCATCAGTCTGGTTGCCAGGGTCATTTGCTCGGTTTGACGTCACTCCTTTAAAAAGAACAAACATTGAAGTGCCCAAAAAATGCTTTTAAATAAGTGAAAGAGAATGAGTGGCTGGATGCGGGCAGTGCTGATCTCTCAGGCTCGCTCCTCCCGTGGGCAGGACGCTGGACCGCTGGCCTCACGCTCCCTTCAGGTGCGGGATGAGAAGTGGGACTCCAGATGCGTGGCTGTCAGGATCTGTTTTTCCAATTCATCCTCGCACAGAAGGTTGCCACAGCTGCTCTGTCTCTCAGACCTACCTCAGCTTGCAGCCCAGCCTGCGTGTCCACAAGTCACCGCCAGGAGAGAAGGAGGTCTGGGTACACCAGGGAAAGACAAGGACACGTTGCCTGCTGTCTGCAGATGGCCCTGTCCCTGGAGGTGCAGCCGAAGGTCAGAGCCAGCCCTGCTCCAAGCACTGGCAGTGAGGGAATGGAGACCAGTTCTCTTCCGAGAGCAGTGGAAGCCTCAGATGCTTCAGCAGCAGGGGGATGGTGTGTGTGAAGGGCCGTAGTGCAGCCAGGTGTCATGAACTGGGGACAGGGCGGTCGAAGAGGGTGGGGTTGGCATCTAAATCTGCTGGGGAAGGAGTCATGAAGCTGACAATGAAGACTTAAAAATGATGAAAATAGTACTGATAACATGCCCATATTCATGGAGGTCACCTTGCCAAGTGCTTTATATGCATCATTCTCATTTTGCAGAGGTGTAAACTGAGGGGTGGAGATGTTAGGTCACTTTTCCAAGGCCACACAGGTGATCTTGATGACATCCCTAGGGGCACAGAGAAGGCAGAGCATGGAATAAATGTTCATGGGTTAAAACGAATCAATCCCGGCCTGTCACTCCGGAGCACATGCTCTGAGGCTCCCCACTGTAGGAAGTCCTGCAGGCAGGCCCCGTGGGGCTGGTGAGGAGAGAAGGGCAGGTGGCCAGGCACAGTGTGTGTGGAAATGTGCAGGGGGGCAGCCCAAGGAGGTGAGGGCCGCATGGGAGATGTGGGGAAGACCCTGAGCCCCAGGCAAGGGCGAGTCATCTCCCTCTGTCAAGGAGGAGGTGGCCTTTTGGAAAGAGCCCTCACGAAGCAGACAGGCAAATGGATATTGGATTGGAAGCTGTCTGAGGCTGGAAACAGGGTTTGTAAACAAGGAGAAGCTTGAGAGTCTGAGCCAGCGTCATTTCAACAGCCTTTGCATCAGGCGGAGTCTGGTGGTCCACTTTGGGGTCAGCAAAAAGGAAAGCAGTGTCCTGGGAGCTTGTGCAGGATGGGCCCTGCCCACCTCCTGAGAGCTTTGGAGCCACTGGGGCCCAGACGGAGACGGTGCCCCCTTCTGCTGTGGGATTCTGAGGCAGCCCCGCCCAGCCCAGCGTGCAGCTCCCTGCATGGTTCTAGCCTGGCACCCAGACACCTCCTGTGCCCTGGGGCTCCTGGGATCCCACTCTGCACCAGATGTGGGAGGGTCCTCTCACAAAATAAAGGAGCCATTGTTTTCTAAGTTAGCCGTAGTTCTCCTCCTCTCCTCTCATTTTGTAATTTTAGTGTGTTTGAGGGAGGAGACCTTAGCCTGGAAACTGTTCTGAATAATACAAAAATCCTGGGGGAGAAGGAAGGAGGCTGATGAGCAGTTACTGGGCTCTGAAAACTGAGCCGGCAGTGAGCAAAATTTTCTGAAAAAGCAGAACTCCTGCCCTGTCCAAACATTAGTGCCACAGCAAAGAAGAGAGCCATGCTCTCTACCAAAGCAAAAGGGGGCAAATGCAGTCAAGAGGCCTCTCCTCTGCTAAATCACAGCACAATCCCCACCCACACACACTCTCCAGATGAATTTATTTACACGCTGCCTCTAGTGCACAAAGCTCCGGGGTAGACTACAGAAACCCACGTGACTGGGAGAGGAAAGAGGCAGGAGTGGGAGAAGCAGAGCGAGGGAGGGAGGAAGGGAGCGTGCTGGGGACTGAATGCTCATGTCCCCCCAAATCCATCTGTTAATGCCCAGCACCCAGTGTGATGGTGTTAGGGGGTGGGGCCTTCAGGAGGTGATTAGGTCATGAGGGTGGAGCCCTCACTAATCATGATGGGATTAGTGCCCTTCTAAGAAGAGGCCCCGGAGAGTTCACTCTCTTTCTGCCAGGTGTGGACACAGCAAGGAGGCAGCCATCTGTAAACTAGGAACCGGACCCTGATGGCACCCTGACCTCAGACTTCCTGCCTGCAGAACTGTGGCGCGTAAATGTTTGCTATTTAAGCCCCCAGTCCACAGTAATGCAGTCTGAACAGGATAAGGGGATAATAAAGGCAGGGGGTCAGGACGCATGCAGCAGAGGAGGCATGCGGGGGATGGCGTCAGTTCAGGGTCTGGAGTCAGCATGCCTCATTCACATCCTTGGGCAGTTCTCTCTGGTCTCATATCCTTGCTTGTAAAGTGGATGTACTAGTTTCCTATGGCTGCTGTAACAAGTGTGAGAAATGCCCTCACCAGTCCAATGCCAAAGAATGGAAACAGAGACACGAGGTACAGCAAAGCGAGACTTTAATAATAGCCATGCAAGATCCAGGTGTCTGTGAATGGGATAGGCATGCCCGAAACGGTTACATCGGTTACATCAAGCAATTTATTCCCTACTGTGCAAGTCCCTCCCCTCAGTTCCTCATTGGCCGAGTACTATGGGATGCACAATCTTTCCGAACAAAGCCTAAGATTTATTACCCTCTTGCAAGGAATTCCTTTGTCTGGAGCTTAGGACAAGCCCACGAAAAAGGCCCGCTAAAGCC